TTCTGAATACTATTTCCTTTTTTGGGTTTGTAAAACTATTTTACTACTGAACCAATTCTTTGAAAACATTGATACGGATTTTTTTTAGATAAAATATTATCAACCCTTTTTCTTACTTAACTACTACAGTGTTTTGTTATATATTATGTGCTCGAAATCAGGTTTGATAGCAATAGCATTGAAACGAATGGACTTTAACTAGCGATGGTAACAAAATGTCACATTAATTTCACTATCATGTATACAATCTTGTTTGCGTGATTACTGATTAGTACGTAGGGCCTGTTCAGTTTGCCAGACGCCGGCAGCGACGGCTGCGGCTGCGGCTACGGCACTGTGTTTAGATGTATGATTGTCGTTCGTTTGGTAGTCGTGCGTCTAGTCACAGGTTTGTTTGTTTAGTGGCCGCACGGTTGATCACAGCGTCTGATCGCGGATTCGTTCAATTGACAGTCACTGCAACTGCGATTATCATTTTTTTCTCAATTCAAATTTTAATTTTAAAAAATTTGTAAATCTACTTTGTAATATAATAAATTTTGTATACACTCATAAAATTTTTAATTCAGCAGTTAAATGAATTATAACATAAACTAAATTATAACAAATTGTATAAACTACTAAGATTTTCACAAAAATAATCCATCATATTAATTATAAAATTTGACAAAATAAAAATAAGTCATAAAGTAAAATAAACAAACATAATAAAGTAATTTGTTTTTTTTTTCAAATAAAAACGCAGTAATAAACTAAATCATTAACTAAAATATTTAATAAGATAAACGATATCTTCTACCATATTCATTTGTGTGTCATTTCTGTGTTTTGCCAAAGTACAAAATCTGAATCCTCCCGATGTGAATCACGTATGAAGTTGTGTAGTGTCATAGTCGCTGTGACAAGCTTAATTCACTTAGTCAAACCATACTTTAGATGCTTACGATCCAAAATCCTCTATTTTGCTTTCCATACTCCAAAAGTTCTCTCAATCATTGAACATAGACCTGAATGCTTTTGGTTGAACAACTCTCGAGAGTTTGTTGGTGGTCCTCCTCTAGCAAATTGATCAAGATAATATCGTGCCCTACGATGCGGACCAAGATATCCTGTCCTCGTGGGATATCCAAAGTTAACTAGATAATACTTTCCATTAGACGGATGTGGAAAATAAGGTTCATTCCTCGTACAATGAGTCAATACCTTTGTGTCATGTACACTACCTGGTACACCAATATATGCATATATGGACTTCATATCGAAGTTGCATATAGCAAGAACATTCATGGTAGGTTCCCGCTTTCTGTCTCTGTACGCTTCTGCAGTTCGACTAGGAAGGCGAACTGGGATATGAGTTCCATCAAGTGCTCCAATACAATCTTTAAATGGCCAATATTTATCATCATCACTCAAAACATATCTTGTAAACTCACCTTCTTATGGCTTAGCCAGCAATTTACATAAACCATCAAATGTTTTTTGGTTCATTCTAAGTGTATCATAACATTGTTGGTCTGATCCATGCATAAGCTGCTGAACATGACGCCACCCTGCTCCTCTATATGTTCTAATACTCGATCTCTCAGAAGTAAGCAAATCAAACAAACCTAGTTCATCATCATCATCATCCAATATCTACTTTTTAGCCATCTGAAACAAAACTCATATGTATTAAAACCAGAACTTATGTTTAACAAAACTAATCAAAACAACAAAACCGCAAACATCAAACGATCATCATATTTAACAAAAATCATATGTAAAAAGATTATATCATTATTCAAAATCCATGAAGCATCATCGTATTTAACAAAAGTCATCATTATTAACCCAAACGACAGACAAAACAGAGAAACACAAAAACAAAAGTCATCATCAAACCCATCAAACTCAACCGATAGACAAAACACATAGAAACACAAAAGTTATCAATCATCAAGATGTGTTCCTGTCCTATGCTCTAAGTAGCTAATCTTGTCTTCAACACTAGCAAACGCTACAAAACCCCTGCGGTTTGCTTCACTAGCTAGAAGATGATCCACAGCTGCTCGGTGAAACAAAGACCACTTCCTTACTCCGGGCAATTCATTAAGCACTTTTACTACTTGCTCAATACAACAAGCATACTCTCGTAAATCTGTAACATCTTTTCTGATATCTTATTCTTCTGCGCCAGAATTGTATTGCGTGTAACAGCTATCTCGATAACTATATCTTTCTCTCTACGCCTTCTCTTTGGTTTTGCATTTTCAGACTGAGTCCGTGTCTCAACATCTTGGGTTTGCATCTCTGGCAGTTTTGTATCCAATGAATCAACTTCATTCTCATCTCCTCCATCTACATGAGAATCTAAATTAGCTTCTCTTTGTTGGGCACTCCATCCTTCTGCTCCAGTCACAACAATGACACCAAATTCCTCTTCATACCCATCCATATTGGGAATCGGCTTGTTTCTGTATTTCCAAGCATCAGGCCATTCCTAAAACAAAATAAAAGAAAGAGGATTAGCCAATATGATCCTAATATTAAACCATAACAAATCAAAGCAACAAAACTCAAATCATATTCAAATAACCACAAGCATCTTCAGAATAAATGCACAAATCATAATTGTATGCTTAAATCAACATTCACCGAGAGAGAATCTTCAGACTTTTTCTCTACGAAAACAGAGAAGTATCAGAAATCATAATTGCAAGGCTTAATCTTTTCCACTCATTAGTTAAATAGCATTCGTTATAAAGTAGCGCATTATTAACGATTACTGCATACCATTAACGATTAACGTTCAGACCATTATGGTTGGGAAATTTGACAACACATCAGAATCAAAAGCACTTTCAAGCAAGAAACATGGGACTGATAAAAATAAATATAATCAACAGAAATACATCAAAAGAGCAATAATCAAACCTCGCGGTGTTCTTAAGATCTTCCTAGAGACTTGTTAACTCATGTTCTTTCATGGATATCCTAAAGATTAAGCATCTAAATGGAAACTAAGAGAGCTAAAAGCGACACAAGGTAAGAAAAAAAAAGAAAAAAAGATTAGCAAATCATTATAGTTCAAGCAATACACAACCTTCACGGACAATAAACCAGAGGCTTAGCACCAAAACGCAAGAGAGAAGGAGAGTTTCAGGAAACACAAGTAAAGAAAATTGAAATGGCTGAAGAACAACACACACAAAGAAAACCCATCTGAATATAGGCGCATACTCACACACAAAAACTCTGAAAAGCTTCTTGTAGCAAAAAACATACATAAATACAAAAACTGAAATGTGCAAACCTTATGCGATGAAGAATGGGAGAACGGTAAATGGTGAACGGTGAACAGCACCTGCATCAAGGCAAGGCAGAGTTATTAGCGACAACAAAAATTAATTTCGCTGGAGCTAACAAAAATTGACCCAGAAATGAAATTAGCAGAATAAACAAACCTGAGACAAAGCTAACGAACTTCAGCTTGAGATGGAGATGGATGGTGGTTTCGCGGAGAGAAGAGAGCACGACGATGGCACTAATTGAGTACCCTTTTATCTATTAACAAAGGGAATCAACAAAAAAAGCAAATCGAAATGAGATGAAGGATGGTGATTTTAGGCGAAGAGAAGAGAGCTGTTTCGGCGAAGATATGAGATGGTAGCGAAGAGAAAGAACACGACGATACTTTAGGGTAAGGTATATGTTGTAATTCTCAAAAATTAACAAAGGTATACTTGTCTTTAGCAGGTTTGATCGCAACAAATTGTGATGCACCGCTGAATCTAATCAGCGTCCAAAAAAATTAAACGCTTGCCGCAGCGTCTGGTAGCAGCATCTGGTCGCGGCATCTGCGACAGAGAAACGAACAAAAGTTGGCCGCATGCCGCAGCCGTAGCCCCCGGGCGTCTGGCAAACGAACATGGGCGTAGTAGTAAAGTAAGCATGTGAATCTGTGATCCTTTGAACTTCATTTTACATACTCAAAGTGACGCATCGTTTTGATCCTACAAAACCATATCGTGCTATTCACTTATAGAGCATTTTTCTTGTGCCAATGCCATGGACATGTCCATCGTTTCCTACGACGATAACCGCCACGTGACCACCGATCCCAGCCGCCTCAGGAACGTTTTCGATGCCGAGGCCTCTTTGATATTCGAGTCATGGATGGTCAAGTACGGGAAGGTGTACGACTCCGTTGTTGAGAAGGGACGGCGTTTTTGACGGTTTTCAAGGACAACCTCCGCTTCATCACTAACCGGAACGCTGAGAATCTCAGTTATCGACTCGGTTTGACCCTGTTTGCTGATCTATCTCTCCATGACTACAATGAGCTCTGTCACGGGGCTGATTCAAAACCACCTAGGAACCACGATTTCCATGACTAGTAGCGACAGATACAAGACAAGTGTTAGTGATGTGCTTCCTAATTTCATTAACTGGGGGAATGAAGGTGCTATAACTAAAAAAAAGAAAAAAAAAAAAAAAGGTGCTATAACTGAAGTCAAAGACCAAGGCGATTGCAGTAAGTATAGTGATTTTAAATCCGATCCGTTTGGTCTAACTATTTTATTATTTTATTTAGATTGAATTATCAAAATTAAAAAAAAAAACTTGAAAAGTAAAATTTTAACATTAACGCTTTGGTGTAAGATGTAGAGGATAAATTGATTCGAGATAAGAACCAGTTATATACAATTTACATTCCACTTGAATTGCTATTTTTATCTCTTCATCAAAAAATAAAGTTTGAGTTCTGATTACTAACACTATGTAATCGTAATCGTAGAATAGGAGAACTAAAATTAATAAAGTTGCAGAATAAGATGAAATCTACATATTAAATATAAAGTCATGAATTGAAATTGTTTGTGCCACTCACTACAAAAATCAAGGTGTTTAGCGTCATTTAATTAGAGTTACTCTAAGAAATGACGGTAAATACAAATTACCTTATGTCACATTTTGAAATGATGTAAAATGATATTTTTTTTTCTGGTTTATTAAAAATTAATAAGAAAAAAACTAAATCAAACCTTCTCGATCTAAAATCAAATCTTCCAGCTCGATCTCTATCTCGAACTCTACCTCGATTTTCCGTTTTCAGAAATTTCTCACTAAAAAACCTCTTTGATCGAAAACGATTTCACAAACACACTTATTCATCTCGATTCATCTCCTTTAATTTCCTTTGAAATCAGTTTGGGTTCACTCAATCTTTTCTGTTTCTGATTGATGAATGTATCGAAGAGTTTTTTATTTGTGATTATTTTTTTGCAAAGAGTTCCCGGTGACAAGTCTCAATTCCGGAGGCGGCGCAAATCTCAGCATGATACGCTACTATCACATTAGAGGTAAGCTTTCACAATTCTAGAATCACCTTCTTTGAACTCGATTTGATAATGCTTTGAACTGGATTTGATAATGGTTTGTGAGATTTATGCTGTTTTGCTACTGGTTTCTAATCGATTTATTCTATTCTGCTTCTGGTGAACTGTAAATGTGTTAGATAATTGCTTTCTCTGCTCGTTAATTAGAGCTGTTTCTATATAACACATTTCTATGTGAACCAAATTATATACGTTTCACCAAATAGTATAGAAATATAAATATAACAAAAACTACTGAACATTATCATTGTTTTATGAAAGTTATAGACTTCATGTATATGTATGTGCTTTGAAAATATTATTACTGATTTCGAGCTTTTTTTGTTTATGTGTGGATATGGTAGACTAATTTATTTCGTTTCAAGAATCAGTGTACCATATTTTAGCTTTATTTGGAAGATTACTGTTGTGCCGTTAGTGATAGTACAATGATGAACCTTCAATTATTCTGATATGAGTTAATTCATGTGGTTCAGTAATCCTTTTTCTTATGTATGTTGTCGGTGTGATCGTCGTCCATACGTATAATTAGCACTTGCATTCGTAATCGTCAATGTGCTTTGTGACTGAATTGCTGATTATATATAACACATTTCTATGTGTTATACACCATCTTCAGATGGTGTTTGAAACTATGTTAAACTTTTCATGAACTTTGATTGCTGAGAATTGGTTAACTTTATTCGTAGATTGATTTTGAAATGGACAAGTCTTGGATAACAAAACATCGATTATCTGAAGACTACATAAGTGGAGTCAATGGTTTTTTAGATTTTGCATTTGGTACTATGAAAACAGACATGATTAAATGTCCTTATCAGCGTTGCTGTCTTGTTAGATACAAGCTTAGGTCTGAGGTTGAGGGTGATTTAATTTGTCATAGTTTTCTACCAACATATACAAATTGGTATCTACATGGTGAAGAATTAGATTCACAGGAGGAGACAGTTAGATTAGAACCTGAATCTAGTATAGATTATACTGAAGACCCGACTATAAATCTGCTTGGAGATGTTTTTCCAAGTATGAATAATAGTTTTGATAAATCTGCTAGTCCCAAAGAAGATCATTCGAAGCAAAAAGAGACTCTAGATGATTTGTTATCAGACTGCAACCAAGCTCTTTATGAAGGATGTCAGTCCTTTAGCAAGTTAGCATTCATGCTTAAGTTGTATCACATCAAGTGTATGTGTAGGATAAGTAACAAAGGAATGTCCATGATAGTTGACCTCTTGAAAGAAGCATTTGATCATGCAAAGCTCCCGAGCTCGTTCAATGATATGAAGAAGATTATTCGTAAGCTAGGATTTACATATGAGACCATTCATGTGTGTCCTAATGATTGCATGTTGTATTGGGGAGATGATGCATCTAGACACACATGTAAAGTTTGTGAAAGTTCAAGATTGAAGACATCTACAACAATTGATGATACATCTATGGAGGCTGATAAAAAGAAGAAGAAGAAGAAGCAACAAGCTGCTAAAGTCCTCAGATATTTTCCTCTTAAACCACGGTTGCAGCGTTTATTTATGTCATCCAAGACTGCTGAATTTATATGGTGGCATGATAGTTCTGAGAACAAAGATGGTAAGCTTAGGCATCCTAGAGATGGAATGGCTTGGAAAACATTTAATCTACAATTTCCAGAGTTTGCATCAGACCCGAGGAATGTCAGGCTAGGATTGGCAACTGACGGTTTCAATCCGTTTGGTTCTTTGAGCACAAATTACAGTGTATGGTCTGTGCTTTTAGTCCCTTATAACTTTCCTCCTTGGATGTCAATGAAGCAAACATCAACGATTCTTTCAATGATAATCCCTGGGAAACATCAGCCGGGTAATGATATTGATATCTACCTACAACTTCTTATCCAGGAACTAAGAGAGTTATGGTATGATGGAGTACCAAACCTTTGATGCCTCTTTAAAAGAGACATTTTCTATGCGAGCGGTTTTGCTATGGACTATTAGTGATTTCCCAGGCCTAGAAAATTTATCTGGGTAGAACATTTACACAGGATTAGCTTGTCCTTCTTGTAATTATGATGCTACAGAGCTCCGTCTACGCCATGGGAAGAAGAACTGTTACATGGGACATAGGCGTTTTCTTCCTGAAAGTCATAGTTTTCGAAAAGATAAGGAGCATTTTGATGGTTTTACTGAAGCAAGAGTTTCTCCTATTACACCATCAGGAAGTGTTATTCTCCAACAAATTGAAAACATTGATGTTACTTTGGGGAAGAAGAAAGATACTGTTGGACAGAAGAGGCGCCGAATAGAAGGTGGAAAAAATCAGTGGAGAAAGAGTAGTATATTTTTAAAATTACCCTATTGGAAACATCTTCTCTTGCGTCACAATCTTGATGTGATGCACATAGAGAAGAATGTATTTGATAATCTTATTTTTACATTACTAGATGACAAAGACAAGTCAAAAGACAATCTTAGCGCCCGAAAAGATTTGCAAGAGCTTGGTATACGTAAGGAGTTGTGGCCTGATGAAGATTGTAGATATCTTATGGCTTGTTTTACATTGACTACGCACGAGAAAGATATATTTCTTAATATCTTAAAGAATATAAAGCTCCCAGATGGATATTCTTCCAATATTTCTAGGTGTGTTCATATGAAACAAAGAAAACTGTTGGGTTTAAAGAGTCACGATTGCCACATCTTAATGTGTAAATTGTTGTCTATCGCCTTACATAATGTTTTACCAAAAGAGGTTTCATTTGTTATAACCGAGTTATGTCAGTTTTTTCGGGATATTAGTTCTAAGCTACTTGACATTAAATATTTGGATAAGTTTCAAGAGCATATTGCACTTACATTGTGCCATTTGGAAATGATTTTTCCTCCATCATTCTTCACTGTTATGGTGTATTTAACCATCCATCTAATAGAAGAAGTAAAACTGGGAGGTCCGGTTCAATTTCAATGGATGTACCCAATTGAAAGGTAATTATTCCTTTTAATTCTTGATGTTGATTGAGTCTTGATTTTGTTATACATAAGTCTGTTTTTTTTGTCTATAGGATCTTAGGACGTTTAAAATATTATGTTCGAAATCGAGCTCGACCTGAAGATTCTATATGTGAGCAGTATATTGCTGATGAATGCATTACATTTTGCTTTATGTATCTTGAGGGAGTGGAAACAAGTTTTAATCGTGTTGGAAGAGTTGATGATCACCTTATGGTAGAACATGAATTGGGTCATGAATCACATATTCCACTTATTTTTCCTTCACTTGGGAGATCCGTTGGTGCTTCTATGTTGGACACACTTAGTCCCTTTGAACGTCAGCAGGCCCATCAATATATCTTAGTCAATAGTTCATTTTTAGATGACTATCGAGAGTAAGTTATTTGATTTGTATTATGTATTATGTATCCTGATTTGGTGTTATGATGATTTGCTGATTTGAAATATTATGAAGGTTATTTAAGAGTGAATTAAGAAGATCACAGTCACGGCGTCGGAAAAGAGCAACTGTGATAGATATAGATCGTCATGTGCATCGCTATTTTAGTCAATGGCTTAAGCAAAAAGTAGAAAAAAATGGCCTTGACGGTATTTCTGCTGATATTCGTTGTCTTGCACCGGGTCCATCTGATAAGGTTTTAAAGTTTTCAGCATATAATATCAATGGTTTCAAGTTTAGGACTATAGAAAAGGGATCGAGATCTAAAAACTCAAAATAGTGGAGTTTTTGTTTCAGCTAAAACTATAAGTTATGCAAGTTCTCGCGATCATAATCATAGAGCTGGAGATGTTTCTTACTATGGAAAATTAGTTGAAATTATAGAATTAAACTACTATGATTCGTTTAGAGTTGTGTTGTTCAAATGTAAATGGGCTGATACTCGTGATGCTCAAGGATATAGGAAGGATGCTATGGGTCTTACTATGGTGAATTTTTCTCGTTTGATACACACTGGAAATGGTGAAGAAGATGAACCTTATGTCTTGGCTTCTCAGGCTAGATTGGTTTATTATATAGAAGACCCGCAAGAAAAAGGATGGAATGTTGTTGTTCATGTCCAACCAAGAGATTTGTATGACATGGGTGATCCCACTATTTCAGAAGAAGATGAAATGATTGAAGATCCTCCTGTTCAAAGTTCATTGCTTATATCTGATAATGTTTCTAACATTAGATTAGTGAGACAGTTAGAAGATCTTGACAATATGGAGGTTGAATGAAATTTACTTGCTTTATATTTACTTGATATATATTACTTGCTTATCTTAACAATCGTATTGCTTCTTTTATAGGTATAGATATGTCTGAAGATCTCATAGCACCACCTCCTATTGGACCAGAATTAGCAAGTGGAAAATGGAGAGTCCGTGTCATAGGTTTGTAAACTTTTGCTTTGTCTATGGGTTGATGTTTATTTGCTTTTATGATTATTCTGGGATAGTGATGTTTCTTCTGTTTAGATGGTGATGCAAGAATTACAGAAGAACGAATTTCGGGAAAAGAAGTGTGGAGCATGCTAAACCGGCGGGTGATGATTGATTTCAATAGGAACGGTCAGGCTATCAAGGATTCAGGAGGCTTGTTTGGTTCGTGGCTAGGCTCATTAAGTAACGATCTCAATCTACTTCCTATAAATTACACTGATTGGAGGAAAGTTTCCAATTACAGAAAAGAGATGGCTTGGAAAGTAATTCAGGTAATATGTTCTAATCATTCAGTACATGTTTGAAAACTGTTAACTCTTTGAAAACTGTTAACTGTTTCCATTATTATACAGAAAAAATTCTGGTTTGATGACCCAAAAAAAAGGAAGAAATATGTTCTATCTACTCTAGGATGTAGATATAGAGCCTTGAAGCAACGCCTTTGGGAGGCTCACAGACGAAACACTATACAAGAATCATTTAAAGCACGACCAGGTTTGGTTCCAGAAGATCAATGGAAAGAGTTTGTGGAAATACAATTCACTGATAGGGCTAAGGTAAAACTACACGAGCCTCTTATGTTTGTCCTACTTTCTTATATATCACATGAAAATAACTACATGTAACATTATAGAAAATGAGAGAGCGTAATATTAAAATTCGAAGCAAACTTAAGATACCACATGCACTTGGAAAAAAGAGTTTAGCAAGAAAGGCTGATGATATGGTAAGTTATCAACAGTTTAGAGTGACTGTTACTTTGTCACTTATATTACGCTAATTCTCAGCCATTGCATCTCAGTCATTGCATCCGTTTGTTTATTAGGAAGAGGAGACAGGCACAGAACCAAATCGAGCTGAACTTTTTATTGCATCACGTACTAGATCAGATGGGAGTTTTGTTTGTGACGAAGCAAGAATATACGGGGTAAGTTTTCTGTCTCTCGTAGAAATGTTATGTGGTCATTTTCTTGTGAAGTCCTTATGTTCTGTTGTTATTTGTAGGATAAGTTGAAACAAGTAACGACTGAGAATATTCAAAGTGAAGCACATGATGCACTTGAACAAGTGTTTGGTCCTGAGAAACCAGGACGAGTTCGATGTGCAGGACGTGGTCCGACACCATCCAAGTATTTCTCAAATAAGGAATGCACTTCGTCTACTGCTGAGATGATACATATTAAGTCCCAAATGAAAGGATTCGCAGATAAACTAGATGTTGTTGCTAATGCTCTTTATGCTCTTATCGAATCAAGAAAGCAAGAGCATTTCCAAGTAAGTTTTTTGTGATCTTTCAGTCATTTCCAAGAGCATTTCATGTTAATAATGCAAATGATTTTCTTACAGGCAATTGCAAGAGATGAGAACACAAAGCTTAAGACAAATCTTTATCAATCATCTAGTATCAACAGTGACCAGGTAACAAAATCACTTCTGTGTTTTACCATGAATTTCTGTTTCTGCTGATTACTAGAATTCATAGATTGAAAATTTCGAGTAGTGGAAAACTGTTTCGTGAATTCATTCCTCGCTTAGATGATCATTGCTTTTGATAATCTCAGCTCAAATTAGGCCGTCGAGTAAAAAAATGCAATAGCTTGAGACAGTCATGACTTTTTTCACAAAAGCTTGTATTAGCCTTCTGCGTTTTTTGATACATATCTTATGCGAAACACTTTGTTCTTTATTTACAATTTCAGGAAAGTGGCATTTCAAAAACTAGAATTTGAAGTTCTTTGAAACTGGTATATTCTTCTTTTCTTTCATTTAAATGAACTAGAAAGTACTTTGATCAAAAGACATAGATTTGAGAACTTAAGACATAGACATAGTTTCTGTCTTGGTTAGAGAATCTTGGCTAGAGAAGATTATGCTATGCTCTGTTTTTACTTTAGAGTTCTGTTTTTGGTTGCTGAGTATGCCATATTCTGTTTTTGATTGCTGATTATGCCATGTTTCTGTGTTCTTAATGTCAGGTTGTTCTTGTTTCTCGACCAATTATGTTCAGATTGCTGCTGCTGTCTAGAAGAAGTTCTTGTTTTTCTTCAACGTATACTAATTGCTTTTGATGTAATTTGACTCTTATTATAGTACTATACTAGGTAATAACCCGCACCCTGTACGGAATAAAATAATTGTTATTTATTTATATTTAATATAATTTTAAAATCATATAATATAAGATAATTAAATTAATATAAATTTAATATAATATTATACAAAGATAATGTAATAGCAATGTAAAATTAATTTAAAAATTAAGTAGCATGCATAACATATGATATAGATGGGTAAAATATATGAAGTTACCATACAAATTTTCAATATCCTGTAATTGATGATATTATTCATTATTTTCACCAATGTCCAAGATTTGGATATACAATTTATGTACATATTTAATTAATTTTGACTCTTAAATAATTAAATACTATTAGTTAAATAGTTTGTTACTTATCTATTAAATATTATTAGTTAAATAAATTAAAACATTTTCTTAGTCCCAAATTGGACTTATTCAAAATATGATACAAATCGATAAGTTAATATTTCTTAAAAAAAATCTATATAAATATATGGTCCATTAATATCATAAATTAATAATTACCATAAAATAATATTATATAAAAATATAACTATGATCATTTACTAAAATATGAATATATAATGATTTATTTTTTTAAATTGAAATAATGTTATGGTTTATCTACAATTTAAAAGTGAAGTATTTAAAGATATTACTAACTTTTATAACAAATCAAATTTTTAATTAATTATTAATAAATAATTTATTTAGTTCCAAACTGATAATTTTATAAATTAAAAAAATATTGAAATCACAATATTATCAATTTATAGAATTTTCACAGTTATTAAATTGATTGATTTAAAACAGACAAACTAAGAAAAAAAAACATGAACAAATCTTACTGAAAATTTGATACTATATATGTTAAATCAAACATTAATTAAAAAAATAAACAATTAATATTGATATTATCATATTATGATCTCTTGCCAAAAAAAAGTAAGCAATATACCATATTTGTCATCTAAGAATCATATATAAATTAAATCATAATACAATATATCATATTTCCTTATATAGTAAATCTGAATATAAATAATATATATCATAATAATTTTGAAAATTCATCATTTTCTTTTTAATTGATGTTTGTGATAAAAATAACATATATTTTTAATTTATATTTTGTATATATTATTATGAATTGTTAAAAGATATTATATATGTTTTTACAGTTATTTTCATGCATGCTATAATTATAACAATATGTGAATAAAATCATTATGATTTTCTTTTATTTGTTCTGATTGATTTTTGAGAAAATACAATATTATCTTTAACTATTATGTTGTATTTATAAAAATATTTTTAGTAAACAATTAATAAACATATTTTTGAGAAAAATAAAATATTATTTTTAATTATTATGTCGTATTTATAAAAATATTTTTAATAAATAATTAATAAACATATTTACTAATAAAAGTATAAACATTAGTAAAGTGTTATATATTTGTTATGAATTTGAGAAAAATAAAATATTATTTTTTAATTTTTCAGTTGTTTTTATAAGAATTTTGTTTTATAAATAATCAATACAAATATTTGTTTTTAAAAGTAGTAAGCATAAATAAGTATTATATATTTTACTATGAATGATAAAAATAGTAATTATTAAAAAAATATTATATAATAAATTTCGTGAATATTATATTTAGTATTAAATAAATTTTATTTTATTAAATTATTAATTCTAATATTATTGCCTTTGAATTCATTTTAAAAAATAAAATATAACATATTTATGGACCTAAAATATACAATAGCATATCATGTAATTAGTCTAGTAATCTAAGTCTTTTTTAAAAAAATAGCTGAGAATGAATATGGGGTTGACACATCAGCAAAATAGCACCATTGTAATATTCTACAAATTTAAGGTTTCTCTTTAAAAATGCTTTTCTTTTAATATATAGGGGATGTATCAACTTTTATTATTTAAAACTTGTTTATCAAAGAAATGTTACCAATTTGATTATATATCTTGTAAATTTTATTTTATTGCAGTTCTAGTTGATTTAGCAAATTGATGCTAGTTTAAATGATGCTAGTTAAATGACTCTAAAATATAAAAAACTTAAGAGTGATTTTTGTAAGTAATGCCAAAGATGGAAAACTTGGCGTGGTTTGTATAAATGATGCTAACAACTTTAGCATCATGCGATGTTAAATCACTTTACTAAGTGACACCAAGTTATTAGAATCAGTCTTTAACTGACGCTAACCAAAAAAAACCGACTTTAAATCCCTTCTTTTTTGTAGTGACTGGATAAATTTACGTAAAAAATAGCTAAATATATCACATATATTCAAATCATATTGATATTGAATTTCAGTATATTTATTATTTAATTAAAAAATAGAAGAAGATCAAAAGTATATTAGTTTTAGGAATTAACATATATTTTAGATATTACCACATTGTTTCATTGTAAACAATTGTTTTTTACTTTCTTTAAATATGTTCTTTTGCATGAGTAAAATGAAAAAGTTAATGTAAACCACTTATCATGAGATGAGATAAGCTACTAAATATCCATTATCTTGTTTAATAGATGTTTACTTGTGTAACATATTTGTAAAATCACATTAAAAAGCATAATCTGCCATTCCGTGGGTTGCCAATGAAAACATTGATTTATACTGTAAAGAAACACATATTAATAAAGGGAGTTAACTAAACACATTTCAATTTGCATGGTTTATTAAATTGTTGTTTCTTACACATCAGCATTGGGATATGCACATGTAATAGCACAAATTTATCTATTTGTTAAATTTAAAATATATTTCTTTTATATGTTATATTTGATTAATGTTACAAAGTAAACCCATTATAATTGAAAATGATTGTTAAAAATATTTAAATAAGTTTTAATTTCTATTTACTAAACATTTCTGATGTATTTTCTGGATCATGGTATGTAAGTCTCATCAATTAGGTCAAGCCTAATTTGAAAACATTAGTTCTCGGTGAAACAAAAAACCGATCTTAACTAGATTTGCTATCTTCATGCATGCTTTGTTCTTGTGTGGAAGGAGTTGTTGGGCTTTCTCGACGGTTGGGGCAGTGGAAGGCTTAAACAAGATTGTGTCAGGAGAGTTAGTCACTTTGTCTGAGCAAGATTTGATCAATTGTAACAAAGAAAATAATGGTTGCAGAGGAGGTAAAGTTGAGGCTGCCTATGAGTTCATAGTTAATAATGGTGGTCTTGGTACCGACAACGATTATCCTTACAAGGCTGTTAATGAAGTTTGCAACGGTCCGCTCAAGGTCGGTATAGTTACAATCGTGTATATATCTGTAACAAAAACAACATAAAACATCAATTTTTCAAATATTTTATTATTAAAACTATTCGTGTAGGAAAACAACACGAATGTTGTGATCGATGGATATGAGAATTTGCCTGCAAATGACGAGCTTGCTCTAAGGAAAGCTGTTGCTCACCAGCCAATAACCGCCATTATCGATTTCAGCTTTATGAATCGGTAAAAAAAAGATTTCTGTAAAGTTTTATTTAAAATTATAGAATTTTTTGGTATTACTCTTAAGATATAAGTTTTAGAGTTGTGTTCATATATGCATTCATTGCTTTTATTTTTGTTACCGTAAAGGGAGTTTTCGATGGAATTTGCGGAACAAACCTAAACCATGGAATTGTTGTGGTTGGGTATGGAACCGAGAAGGGTCGTGACTTTTGGATCGTGAGAAATTCGTGGGGCAACACATAGGGAGAGGCTGGCTACATGAAGATGGCTCGCAACATTGTCAATCCAAGAGGCTTATGTGGTATCGCGATGCGAGCTTCATACCCTCTAAAGAACTCGTTTTCTACCGATATAAGCTCCATGGCCTAATAATATAAACTAAATGTATCTTATGTAAAGGATCGATCGAGTGACACAACAACGTATTCGACTTTGAAGGGAAAATAATGTGGTCGATAGGTTTGGCTTTGTAATATATTTTGGACGTGTATGAGGTCAATGTTTGGAGTTTTAATAATGTTTATGGATATTTTGTGTGGGTCTAATGATGAATATTTCTTATGTGTGTTTAATCTTCTTCTTCTTTTTCTGTTTTATCTATTTCTTTTTCTTTTCTTTTCCATATTGTTACATTATAATTATATATATCTTTTTCCTAATACTTCCCTATTTCATAAAATATATCTTTGATCAATTGTAACAAAGAAAATAATGGTTGCAGAGGAGGTAAAGTTGAGACTGCCTATGAGTTCATAGTTAATAATGGTGGTCTTGGTACCGACAACGATTATCCTTACAAGGCTGTTAATGGAGTTTGCCATGGCCGCCTCAAGGTCAGTAGAGTTACGATCAATTTCAGATAGAAAGGCTATCATCAACAACAACCACAAAAATTAAATTTTATTTTGGGTAGGAAAACAACAAGAATGTTATGATTGATGGATTTGAAAATTTGCCTTCAAACGACGAATATGCTCTAATGAAAGCGGTTGCTCACCAGCCTGTAACAGCCATTCTCGATTCCAGCAGCCGCGAGTTTCAGCTTTACGAATCGGTAAAAAAAAAAAAGAGTATTTGAAAGTTTCTTTTAGAATATTAAAAGAAATGTGTTCATAAGCACTGATTTTTTTTTCAACCTCTAAGGGAATATTTGATGGACCATGCGGAACAAACCTAAACCATGGAGTTGTTGTGGTTGGGTATGGAACAGAAAACGGCCGTGACTATTGGATTGTGAGAAATTCGCGGGGCAACACATGGGGAGAGGCTGGCTACATGAAGATGGCTCGCAACATTGCCAATCCAAGAGGCTTATGTGGTATCGCAATGCGAGCTTCTTACCCTCTTAAGAACTCATTTACTAGGGATATAAGCTCCATTGCCTAATGATATGAACCATATATTATGAGAGGGATCGAGAGTGAGCCAACAACCTATTCGACTTTGAAGGAAAAATAATGTAGTTGATGGGTTTTGTTTTGTAATATATTTTGAGCTTGTATGTTGTAATTGTTTAATATTTATGGATATTTCGTTTGGATTGATGATGAATGTTGAACCAAAAAATTACCACTAGGGTTTGATTAACAGTTGTGAGTTTCGGAGAATATTTTTTTTTTATTAATAGCAAGTTAGCGAAGCGATTACAAAGAACGGTATAACCGAGAGGTTATGCCGAAGTGAAAAAGTGTTTTGTGAAGTAAATTAGAAGGTGTTGGAATCTTTGGGATTAGCTCTGCTGTTCTCTAGAATGTATGAGTTATCCTTATTGGTTTCGAGGTCCTCTTTATTTATAGGGATAGGAGGTCGGTTGCTTCGAACTCCTTTTCCTTTTTGCTTTTGGTAAATATTTCCATATTTGCAATATGGAAATATCATTTATTCTCCGAGGAATAAGGAACTTCGCCTTTATCCTTCGAGTTGATCCGATCTTTCTGGTCTTCGATGGTTATCTTTAGGATATTTTCTTTAGTCCGAGCTAGGTCGGCGCGGTCTTCATGGTCCTGACGGGCTTAAGTTATTGCTAGAGAAAGTCTTTTAGGAAATGTGCTCATTTCCTCTCTAACAGTAAGTCCCCCCCCCCAGTTCGGCGAGAGTGGTTGTAAATCAGGTCGGCGGACTTCATGAAGTTCTAGATGGGTTTGATCTCGCAATAAGTGTTAGCTCATTGAGAGCGTTGTTTCGCGATTGCCAGCTCGGCCCGATTTTAAGTGGCGTTTTCTTGAAATTAAATATCAAATACTCCAACCCTTTTAGGGTTTTGCTTTTAAGCGAAAAATGCGAGGGGCCCGCCATGCGGCGAGATTGTGGGAATCTTGACACTCGTCTCTTTAGAAAACTGTTGATATTTCTTTCTGATTTTGTTTACTTATTTTTACTCCTTCGTCTTCTTGCTCCAGATATCTCTTTGCCTTCTTACTCCAGAAAATTCTTAACTCTCTTCTGTTTTACGATAATCCCTCTTTTTTTTTTAAAGATTTTTTTCCTTAATTCTTCTTGATTTTGAATTAAAAATATGGGGCTAAAGAAGAGAAGTAAGATTCCTTCGCTTGACGTTGATATCCCCGATTTTCCTCCGAGTAAGAAGCCCAGATCGGAAGATCCGCCGCAGGATCCGGTTTTTGAAGATACGCCACCAAGCGAACCTATCACGGAAGATCCTCTGCAAGTTCCTGCGACCGGGCGAGGAATTCCAGCGGAAGATCTAGAGGTCGAATCGCCAATTGAGGAGCAAGGTTCTGCTTTTGCGTCGGCGGAGGAGGAGGTGAGGAGCCTGGTTTCAATCCTCACGAATTCCTGCTGTGTTGGGGTGGGGATTCTCCAGCAATGCTCAGCGAGTATTTTGCGGCAAATTTGGTCTGGCAGTGTAGGGCGAAGCCTAACCAAGGAATATCGGTAGAGAAGCTGAAGCGATTCTCTTGTTTCTCCGGGATGGCGCAGCGCTTTATGCAAGGTTTAGGTTTGTGCGCGTTCCTAATCGAATCGTACGACAAAGAATCCGCACGAAAGGAGAATAAAGTTGAGGAACTGGCGGCCAAGGATCGAGAGCTTCGTGGTGCTTTGGCGAGGATCAAATAACTTAAGTGCGAGAAGCTCAAATTGGAACTGGAATGTCATTCTCTTAAGGTTGAGTCTGCCAAAGAGAAGCAACTCCACCGGGAAAGTATGGAGAGGAGAACGGCCGAAGAGGCCAAAAAGACAGCTGCTGCCGAGAAGGAGTTTCAGAATCATCAACGCAAATCAGTCGATCGCGTGGTTGATCTGACGTACCGGCGTCTCCGTGAGTGGTACGATCCCCGTATTGAGCGTATCAAGGCTTTCATGGCGCAAGATCCTGCTATTCATCGGTTGGAGCTCTGAATTGTTGACGCCGAGGCAAGGGTAGATTGTTATAAGCAACTCAGGTCAGCGGGTCATGAGGTCCCAATTAAGGAACTTCTGTCTCACTCTACCGAAGCTGATCGCCTGAAGGTAGAGCGTCATGGGATGAAGGATGCTCCGCTTTCTCCAGATAACTTCGCTGCTCCAACTCGAGTTCATATGCCACCTCCTGACGCGGAGCTAGAAGCGGCAGGGATCCGATTGCCGAAGCGTCGTTCAAGATTTTTGTAATTTGTAGTGCTTGCTCTCCTTTTTTTTGTTTTTGGAAAAAATGTACGTCAGACGAATGTTTTCCTAATGAATAAAGATAATTTGAAAGTTTTATTATCCATGTCTTTGTATCCTTGGTGAAAAGGTAGCCCTTAAGTTTAAGGTTTCTGCGAAGTTAAAAAAAGTTTCTTTTGTCTTGCGGTGCGGAGGCATTCTTTAGGCCAGTGCTGGAAGCAAGATTCATTTGCTCGTCTTATACCAAACGACTATCAAGATCAAATATCAAGCTTTCAGGATTCACTTCGGCCCGAAAGGTATGATCGAGGGTCGTGCGAGTATTGTCCTCGGCTTTCGTCTTATCTACTTTGGAAGTAATTAAATCAAACCGAAGTGTCAAAGGAGTGGTGATCAGCCACTAAATTTATTTTTTATGCTTGCTTTTTCGAATCAAATGTTTGGCCAGAATATTGACTCAGCAAGATGCATTCGTATGAGAAAACATGACTTTACACGCGGAGCTGATTTTATGATCAATCTTTTGATCAGTGATTTATCTTTGAACACCGAGCTGGTTGCAAATATAGTTTTATTAAGACAGTGACTGAACCCGGAGGTTGCCTACATACCCAAAGTGGGATCAAGTCATCCGTAGTTCTTACTAACAAATGTAGGCTTAAATGCTGAACTGTATTTTTAAGAGTAGTATTTCCTTAGATTCATAGAATTGCGAGCTTGCTCAACCGGTTCTCCTTTCATATCTTCCAATCTGTAGACGCCGGGTTTGACGATTTTTGTAATACGGTATGGTCCTTCCCAGTTTGCCTCGAGTTTCAGCGGATTTGTAGTTCTTTGTAAGACAAGGTCGTGTAACGAGAATAGTCGGCTTCGGACTTTCTTGTTGTAATACCTTGAAACTTGTTGCTGATAATTTTGAATACGCAGCAAGGGTTTGTCGCGAAGTTCTTCTGCGGTGTCTACGGTGTAAATTAGTTTTTCTTCATTTAACTGGGGGTCTTGAATCATTAAATTTCGCCGAGCACTTGGTACGTGTAGTTCAGCCGGTGCTAAAGCCTCACAGCTGTGAGATAACGAAACAGAGGTTTCTCCTGTTGCAGTTCGCGGAGTCGTTCAGTGGGACCACATGACCCCGTCCAGTTCATCTGCCCATCTTCCTTCTAATTCAGTTAGCCTTTTTTGAGACCGTCGAGGATTGTTTTATTAGAGGCTTCCGCTTGCCCGTTACCTTGTGGGTATCAAGGTGTTGAGTAACTTATGTGTATTCCCCACATGTCACAAAAACTTCGAAAAATTGACGAGGTGAATGGCGTGCCATTGTCCGTGACGATCTCATACGGAAGGCCGTGCCGACATATGATATATTCCCAAACGAAGAGCTGGACATCGAATGCCTTGATGCTGGGGTATGATTTAGCTTCAACCCACTTTGTAAAGTAATATGTCACTACCAGGATGTGTTGATTGCGACCTGCTTTAGGCATTGGGCCGATCACATCCATTGACCACCTCATGAAAGGGTATGGCAGAATGGCAGTCTGAAGTAATTAGGTAGGCGCATTGATGATTGGAGCGTGTTTCTGACATGGTTTGCACCAGAGTACGAATTGTTCACAATCTTGGATCATTCGGGGCCAGAATAGGCCTTGCTTCTTCATTTTTAATGCTAATGCCCTTCCTCCTGAATGATTTCCGCCTACTATGTCGTGGGTTTCTATCATAACTCTTTTTGCTTGCGCCTCAACACAGCATCGTATTATTATTTTATTTGCTGTCCATTGGAAAAGTTTCCCTTCTTCCATGAAATATTGCGCTGCTTTTATCCGGAGGCGTCTAGCTGCCCATCTGTCCTCCGGAACCGTCCCTTCTAGCAGGTAAGACTTGATTTCGTCTTGCCAAGGCCGCTTTTGTTGTTTGTTGTCCTCTTCCATTGGATCGTCCACTTCGTCCTCTTGGTGTACCACCGCGTTGCAAGATCCCTTGGATAGCTGAATGCTGGGTTGCTTGATGATATCTACTGAAATTGTTCGACGGAGTGCAGGATCCATTGCGGATGCCAACGCCGCCAGCGCATCGGCAGCGGTATTTTCAGTTTGCGGGATTTTGGTTAGTTTGAAGGAGTCGAATTGCTTTGTTATTTTTTGAACCTGTATAAGGTACGCGTGCATTCGCTCGTTCTTTGCGTCGTAGTCTCCCTTGAATTGACTGGCGACAAGCTGGGAATCGCAGAAGGCATAAACATGTTTTGCTCTCACTTCTTGGGCGAGCCGAAGTCTTGCCAGCAAAGCTTCGTATTCTGCTTCGTTGTTCGAAGCAGGGAAGTTGAGTTTGAAAGACTGCTCGAGGATTTCTCCTGTCGGTGACTTTAAACAAATGCCAATTCCTGACCTTTGCTTTGAAGACGCACCGTCGACATATAGATTCCATCGGCTCTCTGCAGGTGACTCATTGTTTAGTAGATCTGGTGGTATCTCGATTATGAAGTCTGCTAAGACTTGAGATTTAGCGCTAGTTCGAGCGCGGTACTCGATATCATATTCAGATAGTTCTATTGCCATTTGGCCATTCGGCCTGATTGGCTTGGGCTGTGCAGGATATTTCGAAGTGGTTGACTGGTGAAGACGACGATGGTGTGAGATTGGATGTAGGGTCGTAGTTTCCGTGCCGAGATGATTACTGCATAAGCTAGTTTTTCCAGGGCTGGATAGCGAGTTTCAGCTCCATCGAGAGTCTTGCTCACGTAGAAGATTGGCTTCTGTTCGCCGCGGTCTTCCCTAACAAGGACGCCGCTTACTGCTGCTGTTGAGGCTGCGATGTAAAGGTACAGAATCTCGCCATCCTCTGGTTTTGCTAATA